TAGAGTTTGCTTTTTAATGTTTTCTATATATCCGGAGGGTGACTTTTTGTTTTTACTGCACAAAATCTGTTTTGTATAATTATAAGAATGATAGTTTATTGGTGTGACAACGACTGTCAGCTGTGAAGCAACCTCAAAATATTACTGCTATTTTTAAGAGTTAAATCTTGCATAATATTTGCTGACAACATAAAATGTCTTCATGTCCATTGATAACTGCTCCCTGACGGAGCCACTGGCATTTTTTTAATAGCTACCTCAGGTCTTCATTAAAATGTAACCTGAACTAGACTGCCTATTATAGTCTGCTTGCATCTGCCTGAAGAAGAACAGCAACCCACTGGGACTGGACACAATAGTGAATGAATAGGGCTTGACCTTTGGGACGGACTGAGAAGATGGTATGTGTGTGTCTGATTGAGAAATTAGCTACAGTCCCAACCAAATGGTCAGCACAAACAGATGCGCGCACACACACACAGAGATCAACTCCAACCCCGAGGGTAAGAAAGCAAGGGCCAGACTCCGGTTGTCTCAATCCTGACCCACTCTCACAAACAAACAATACAGGCACACACACACACACAGGGAGGCACACACACCCAGACACAGAGGCTTACACAACTGTGGAGTCCAGCTATCACCTCCACTTCTGAATGTCCGGCAGGGTCAAAGTTCATCTCTTCTTCTGCCAGCTTTCAGCGTTCCTTTGTGTGGCTGTGCGTGTCTGGGTGTATGCACGTGTGTGTATGCATGTGCATGTACGTGTGCACACTAGGGGTGACTTTGCAGAGTCATTCATTGTGGATACACTGCAGCACCAGCACTGCTGCAGAGCTGATTAGTGAGCAATCCTGCTTTGTGTAACATAGAGTGTGTGTTTGTGAGTGTGTGGGTGCGTTTGGTGGAAGAGAGACAGATGAACAGATTGTGTTTTGTCTGGACTTTCTTCATTTTTGAGAGATATTCAAGCGCAGATCAGAGGTTAGAAGCAAGGAGATGCATGTGTGTGCGTCTGTGTGGGTGTCAATGTGTGTAATGTGTACAAGGCTGTGTATGGGGGTCAGACACAGATGGACAGCTGGTGTTTCAGCGGTGCTAAATCACTCACTCCTTCCCAGCATGCAATCACACATGCACACATGCAAACACACACATACACATGTCCCATCCCCCATCAACCACAGGGAAACGCCCCTTAAAGCATTCCCAGCTCTTTACTTTCAAAGACTGCACACTGAGGGCACACGCACCAAAATAAAACCCTGGTTATTCTCACCACAGTGACAGGCACCAAGAAGTCCAGTATGGCAGATTGGTCAGGACATATTACAGGTGGTCATTACATGTCACATTTGTTAATCAGTCAAGGACTGCTCACACACAAGCTGACACACACACACACACACACACACACACACATACAGGCTCCTATTTTATGAGCTCATCAAGTCCCTAAGGTCACCAACCACCATCTCAGCTAAGGATAAAAAAGCTCACATCAAAACCATTTCACACACACGTATGTGCACGCATTGCATACACACACATTCAGTGTGGCAACTGTGGCAGCATTAATTTCCTTGCGAATGCACTTGACTAACACATAATAATCTCAAACACTGCTGGGAGACCACCAAGCAGCAACACACACACACACACACACACACACACACACACACACAGCCAGGGGGACCACCAAGCAGAGAGGCTGTCAAGACAAGATAAGTGTGTGTATAGCATCAGGGGTTTGCATACACCTTCTAATACACACAAATACACACATATATAACAACAATGACACACAGCCTGGCCTGGACTCCTGGAAAAGCTCTAGCTTATCTCTCCCCACAGATAGTGAAATGGATTAAGAGCCACATTTGGCACGTCCAGAGAACTGGACAGATAACCAGGAAAACACTCTCTCTAACTGCAATCACTGTTCAACATGATTTGTGTGTACTTGTCTATGTGTGTGTGTGTGTGTGTGTGTGTGAGAGAGAGAGAGAGAGAAAGAAAGCAAGTGGATGCATTTTAGCTTGCGTATGCTCCCCCATACATAGGTAGGGCAGTGGACCAATGAACTGCATGTCTGTGTGTATGTGTGCGCGCATGTGGGCATGTGTGTCTGGAAGAGTGATGCGGCGACTGACTCAGTACCCAGTA